TTCAACACTGTCATTGTTATGCGGAGTCAATCAAAGCCATTTGAAGTTGTATCGACTTAAGATCTTCAATCTAGGTCTCCTAGTTAGCATGGTCAATCTTAAATGGCGCCATATCATTCCCGCTTGCGTTTAATAATAAAGCCTAACTTAATCCATCCCACCCGTGGTACATAGATACGCTTAATTTAACATGACGAAAACTAATTTAGTCAGTCAAGTTGACATGAAATATGAAGTCGTTTTGTCAAATTAACCTCGGTGATGGCATGATACGCTTCGCGAGTTAGTCATTTGTCAATCCATCGTACTATAAACACTTTAACTCTACAGGATGTTGATTTGTTTAAAAATAAACGAAGATAATGAGCCGATAAACGAATCCAAATTTTACTGTGTTTTGAATTGCGATTTTTTTTTATAATATCCACTAACGGGACGAACAACTCGTGCGCACTGCCACTGCGCCCGTCACCCTGAGACATAAGTTGACAAGTCCGGTGTGCCTGTAATTTCACCAACACCCTTACCCAAGTAAACTGGAAAGTATTAATGCTTGGCGTCAGAAATAGGTAAGGGTAGGGAAGTATTGCCTTCCCTGGACGAACTCTTTAACAAAAAGCTCTACTGCTACTAATTATTATTATTTTAGAATCCACTGGATGCAACCAGCACGAGACTGGCCTTTGTGGCGATCTTAAATCCAGCGGTACACGTCTTTGAAATGAAATAACATAATAGGATCACTCTGTATTACGGGTGAATCACGAATAACAAAAAATTGCATCTAATTTTTACTGAGTTATTATGTGCCCAAGGTTCTGTTGTTTCCGTCGTTTTAGAGTTTAATTACACCGATTGACGGCGTTTAGGTTTTCTGCGTCACGTGAAGGTCTCTTCAACTCTGGAAAGTTTTACATTGCCCGTGGTTATCGCCTCAAACCACACTTTATTTCTAAACTTCTTCACTTCTCAGCACATCAGGCACTGGGACGCCATAGCCAAAACTTCTAGCTTTTTGTCGTCTACAACATGCGCTACTGGCTTTTTGTATTCTTTGAGATTATCTTTATACTGACCCTGGTATAATGGTCGTTAAGGGCTCTTACACATAAACACGACACGACGGCGTATGTGTGTGTAAGAGCCCAAAAGGCTTGCTAGAGTACGACATCGTCACGTAATCAGCAACAATCTCATGTCCCAAAACAGACAAAAACGTTAACACGTAATTAAGAACCATTTTTAGTAAGTTCCATAAGTTGTTTGTGTTACTACTTGTGTTACTCGTGACTTTTTGTCTCGATTTTTTATTTCTGATTTATTTATAGATAACAGGTCGAAACAAAATAATATTAAGTAAGTAGCTAATATTTACGATCACACGGAACTTTTTAGTGCTTTTTCAATTTCAATAATTACTTAATCACACAAAATAAAAGGCAAGAATAAAAATTGTTGAGGTGGAAATTCAGAACGCATTGAAGATAAACTTTTTCTTTTAATTAAAAAAGTGATGTTCAATTGTTTTTCTTTCATCTACCATATTCCTCGCTATGGTGAAGTGAAAAGTTAAACCCTCGCTACGCTCAGGAGTCTATTTTTCTCTAATCTTGGCTTCCTTCGCTTGCTCGGGTTTCAATGCAAGAAGTACTCGCGTTAAACAACTACTTTGCAGCCTTGCATAACAAATAACTATTTACACTTAGAAATTGTCATTATTGTTACTGCTAGATGTAAGTGTTAAATAGGTATGTCAAGTGTCCGCTGGAGATGAATCCCAAGCATCTTTATCATGAATATAATCAGTAACACTGTATGAGCTCTTATTTAACAGCGTATTTTTAATATGGTTTTTAAATTTCTTCTCTGACAGTTTTATAAAAGCGCACAGTTTCCTGTGAAAGATGAGTTTACTTTATGCAATCTGAATTTTCTTGTTTTCGGGGAATAAATTAATATATTTTCTTATGTACATTATGTTAGCGTAAATGTATGGAAATCTAGAAAACTCAGACCTACTTCCGATGTCGCTTGTACACCCAGAGATTAAAAGATTCCTGTGACATTTCGGACCATCGTTTCTCGGATTCGAACGTAGTGAACAAACACTCTTAGAGACCAACATACATAATTAAACACGAATTATTTGCTTACACGTATGGACTGCGACGTGTGACGACGTTTCGACTTACGGCGTCGAAAGTCGAAAACTCAATGCAGAAATCTATAACAGACACAGAAGAATTTCGTCGACTCGGTTAACTCAACCTGTAGCCCAGTTGGACGAGCGATGGGACGGAAACCCGTGGTCGTATGTTCGAGTCCTGTCGGATCGATAGAACTTAATAATAATAGTAAGCCTGTATTCCAAAAAAATATTTCAAAAACAAAATTCCATTTTTACAAAACATCAAATTTAAATATGCGATTTAGAATTTATTGGAAAGCCCATCTCTGGACGTAGGGCTCCTCCATGCTGTGCCACTCATCCCTGTCCGCAGCCAGTCACGACAACGTTACCCCCGCCACCTGGGTGATATCGTCCCTCCAGGGTCGGCGCGGCCGCCCTCGCGGCCTACGGTTCAGTCATGTGTACCAGTGGAGCACCCATCGCTATCGGTAGACATTGCTAGATGGCCAGCCCATCACCATTTCAGACGACAAGCCATTTTTGCCGCATCTATTATATTCGTTTGTCTTCGAATATCTGCACCAGTTATTCTGTGTTCCATTTTTAAGCCCAACATATTTCTTTCCACCGCTCTCTGGAAGACTTGGATTTTGTATATTGTTTCTTTTGTTATAGGCCACGTTTGACAGCCATAGAGCAATGTGGGTGTCACGATGGAACCCATTGCTTTCTTTTTGAGGGAAATGTTCATTGTAGACTTAAAAATATGTTTATTCGACCGGTATGCGCTCCAAGCTTTCTTTATCCGTCTCTCTACTTCTCTTATGAAATGCACCTTAAAAGTAATATTTTGCCCTAGGTACAAATATTCGTCGACAAAAACGAGGGGTTTAAATTGAATGAGTGTTCTTTTCTGTTCTCCATTTGTCATGACACACATCGATAGAACTTTCTTTGTATTAAATCATTTTTATTTTTGTTTCAGATGGGCTGTTCTCGAATCTTCAGAAGCCTTCGACGCTGCAAAAGCCTGACCGATAGCGACACCCCCTCACAATTGTCTCGATGTTTAGGCCTCGTAGACCTCACAGCTTTAGGCGTCGGCAGCACGTTAGGACTAGGCGTCTATGTGTTGGCTGGTGCTGTGGCGAAGAATGAAGCGGGACCAGCTGTTACCATTAGTTTTCTGGTGGCTGCAATAGCTTCAGCTTTTGCCGGTAAGTAGACGACCAAAAAAATCGATTCAAAGCAAAACATCGTGCTTCCCTACAAGTAACATTATAGAATAATTTATACGTGACTATTTTTATTTATTATCTTCTGTTATTCTTGCACGTGTTTTATGTTCCACGAGATTTCTCTGTTTAATAATTTATACCCAATTGCGGTAGAAATAGACCAATAACTGGCACACCTTGTTTCAGGCTTATGCTACGCAGAATTCGCGGCGCGAGTGCCAAAAGCAGGGTCTGCGTATGTGTACAGTTACGTCAGCGTTGGAGAGTTCATAGCGTTCTCCATTGGATGGAATCTAATACTGGAGTATGTTATTGGCACTGCCAGTGTTGCCAAAGGTGAGACCTTGAATTACTTAAAACGAAAGTACGGATTATAAATCTTTGATGGTAAAAAAATAACAAATGTTATAATTTTAAATTTAAATGTAGGTATGTGTTAGTTTGTATTTGATTTGGATGCAATGTTTGATAGTCAATTTATATAATTTATCGTATAGGTACAGATGTAATTAGAAAGCAATGCATGTGTAAATAACTAAATTAAATTAAACTTTAAATAATTAAATATAGCGTTGCCATGGGTACAGTCAATGGCACTTTTATTCGAATAACGCATCTACTGCAACGGAAAAGGATTCGACGTGTTAATGATGATGTGCTGCCGTCTGTACTAACATTGCCATGCCCTTACGGGGCGTCTTATTGTGCTATAGTTAGCGCAGTATGTATTTATTACTAACCTACCATTAGAATGTGCAATATGATATGCAATAAATAAATAAATATATCCTCTTCTGCCTGAAAACATTTATAAATACTTACGTAGTTTAGGTATCTTTCCATTGACATGGCGCACGACTCAATGGTCCTGCCACTTGATACTATAAAAAAAAAGAACTGTAACTCCGGGACGGTAAATATAAACGTGTAGTTAAGTAAAGCAACGTTATATTCAATATAGCTCGTGCTTCACATGTTAGCATGTCCGGTTTCTGCTGAAAAGTAGACAAAAATCGTTTTTAGTAAATTACATTTCGTCGGGGATAGTGCAAAGGCGCTTATGTATCATTGGTAAAAGGGCGTATCTTCGCGAAATGAAATTTTACAGGTGAGGGTTTAAAACGTTATTACCTTGTTATTTCAATGGCTACGACTACCATTTTTGCACAGTAAGCATTAAGTTAAGTTATTTACGGGCTGATAATTATAGATTCCAGTAAATAAGATTAATTTGGTCGCCGTAAACGCGCGTCATCTGTGCGTATACGCGCCGCAGACGCGCGTCGAACGCGTGCGTGTTTCGCGTTAAACGCGTTCGTCGCGTGTGTATAGGCACCTAGACCTAAGGTTTTTTGTAATTTACTAACAATTTATTTACCTGTTCTGAAATAAATGATAACTTTTGCTCTTAGTTTGTTTGGAAGAGAAAATATTACAGATTAAAAATTGGGAGTAAGGAAATCGGCACCATTGTCCAGAATGTTGTCCATTGTGACAACTGTATCAATTTTGCAGGTATGTCCAACTACATCGACACCCTGTTCAACAAAACGATGGAAACTACGATGACAGAACTGGCACCCATCAACGTCTCCTTTCTCGCTAAATATCCTGACTTCTTCGCCTTCACCTTGGTCATGCTCATCACAAGTAAGTTAGATAAACTGTCAATTACATAATCAATCTTTATTCAATAAAAACATACTCCAACACATACTTTCAAAGTTATAGAAATAAAGAAAATTTATTTATTATTTTTTTCTTCTTCTAAATTTATCAATGTCATTTATATAAATAAATAAATAACGTACAGACTCACAGTCCCGCACTAGTTAAGCCCTGTGTCACGGGTGCTATGGACACACATAGGCAACTACAAATTACAACCAAACTCACGAGAGAAGTAAATGTAGACCATACAAATATTTCTCCCGGACCTGGAATCGAACCTGGGACCTCTGCGTGGCAGTCGTAATGGTAACCGTTCGGCCACAGAGGCAGTTGAAACAATATTTAAAGAAAAAGAAAATATTCAAAGAAATTCAACCCAATTTGATTGACTCAGTGGATTGAATCTATGGAGTCATCGAATTTAACACCTTTAAGGAAACCCTGTGTCGCGGGTGACTTGGACACTCACATAGACAACCACAAATTACCCCCAAACTCACGAGAGAAATTAATGTAGGCCATACAAATATTTCTCTCGGCCCGGAAATTGAACCCAAGGTTCAGAGGAACGGAGTCGTTCGGTAACGGAGGCAGTTAGTCCAATGTTAACATTTTGTATTATTGTGTGAAAAGTAAATTCATTGAGTCGATAAACCTACAGTGAAAATACTATAGTTCATAATAAGCATTATGAAGCTAGAAGTCTCATAACAACAATGTTTCTAATCATAAAAATATAAAGCGATGCATAGGTATTTGTAAAACATGCTATTGTCAATTTATCTAAACAAATAATTGTTATAGCCATCGTGAGATGTCAGCTAGAGTTCACGTAACTCACGTCAAAGAAACATAAACTATGAAAAGACAATTCAGTGTTACATTGTGGCTTGAACATATTAGTACAATATTTATATTTCTGACATTGAGCGCCTTCAAAAAGTTATTAAGTTATAGGCATCCGTTGTTTCCAAGTCATGACATAGTGACACTGGAAAAACGACACGCTGCAACGGATTTTTCTGTACAATACGAAGGGCGCACTATAAGTTTCCGGAATGAATAAGAAAAAAATACTATAAATGGTCAGAAATGAATTTATTTATCGAGTTCTTAGGTTTTCGCGATTGTTACACATAGGAAATGAAACTATTTTTCCGGATTTAAATCGCGTATATTTGTTTTTTCAAACAAAACGACGTTTCGGGCCCTTTACATGTCCCATAGTCATGGTTGACTGAGGTGGTACAGTCTTCAACCAGTTATGTCTATAATAGTAATGCAAACCACCCTGTTTTTTTTCACTATAGTTACAATAGTTATTAATTAAATACCTTATTTTTAATTTTACAAAGAAAACATTCCAATTTACGCTACATTAAGTTTTACGAATTATTTTAATGTTAAGCATCATTTAGATGTATTTATTTTATTTGTCCGTTCCAAAATTTGTAAAATCAATGTATAAGTGGTGATAAAATTTGTTTTTTAGTTTATTTCTTTGTATGTTTCTTATTTTATTTGTGTTTAATAAAATTACCAAGTAGTGTTTCGTTCTTTTTTTATTTATTAACAAATGGAAGCTTTATAAGCTTATAATCTTGTAAGTATACAAATTGTAAACTGTCCCAAATAATAAAATAAAAAAATATTATATTATTGTAACACATAGGTAATATTACTAAAGGTCGCACGAACACAACGAAAAATTCCTTGGACTCGAACCAGCGTCTGTTGCCTCAACGTCGGTCTTTTCACAAAAAAATATGAATAGTTGTAGTTATGAAATAAAAACCCTAAAAGTTTTGCCAAGTTTTATTGGAATCGGTTACCGTAAAATGCGCGGATCCGGATTCAACCCCTAATTTGCCACCCTTAGAAATGGAATATTTTCTTCAATTTAAATGGAACCACTACATAGGGGGCTACCCTTTGTAACAAAAAAAAGAATCATTGAAATCGGCTCACAAATTTCGTATTAATCACCTAACATATACACAAAAAATATAGTCGAATGGATAATCTCCTCCTATTTTGAAGTCGGTTAAAAACACATTTCAATATATAATAAAATACCCCTCAATATTAAAAATGAAATAAATAATAAAACTCTCTCGGTTAAATTAAAAAAATACTTAATTGAAAAGTGCTATTATTCTATGCATGAATTCTTTAATGACAAATAAAAATTTATTCGATTTTTAAACATTGAGACATTGACTTCATTTTGCGATCTTATCTACTATGTGATTTATAAAAGTAAAAATAAAAGTAATAATATGTATTCTTATATAGTCATTATTAATATTCCAATTTTAAAATTAAATTATGTATAAAATAAGGCCTATATGCCTAAATGAAATACTTGCTCTTATAATTATTACTTTTATAATGTTTTAATATGTAATTTATAAATGTAATTGCAATGCCCCAACAGGGCTTATGTACATATTGGCATTGTGTTGTTTTTAAGATCTTTCTCACCAAAATTGTACATACTGCAGAAATAAATAAATAAATAAATAAACACCATGATATTCAATAAAATTAGTGTTAATAAAAATGTTTCATTTTCAGTCCTACTGGCTATCGGCGTACGCGAGTCAACGAAGTTGAACAACGTATTTACAGCCCTTAACATCACTACTGTCATCATAGTAGTGGTTGCCGGCGCAATTAAAAGTGAGTTTTCTATTTGCAGTCCAAAAATACTCATGCTCCTTACTGGTAGGACCAAAAGGATAAATATGTCCTCGTGCTCCTACCAATATATTTTTTTTTAATAATAACGCACACACTCAACATAGCCCTGCACTAGGACAACCCTGTGTCGCGAGTGCCATGAACACACACATAAACAAACACAAATTACACCCAAACTCACGAGAATAATAAATGTAGGCCATACAAATATTTCTCCTGGCCCGGGAATCGAACCTGGGACCTGAGCGTGGCAGTCCGGCATGGTAACCGTTCGGCCACAGAGGCAGAGTCATATACTGTTTACAATGAATAACAATAGGGATTTCAATTTCGCTGCATTTTCGAAACTAACATGTTCTTTATTACCGTCTTCGAAAGTAACAAATTTATACAACTTCTGCGCATTTGGATGACAAAAATCCTTGGTAGTGACCCGTTTAGCTCCTGCAGGGTGGTCTCCATCTATCTAATGTTTGAAATAAATATTGGAAATGATTAATGTGTGCAAATGTATATTTACAAAGAGCAAACCCTAGAGTTTCTTTGCATTATTCTTAGGGAAATCTTCGAAATCGAAAAGTAGAAGAGAAGAACTATAAAACATCAGTTTTCTTTTTTAATTAAAAAAAAAGGTTTATCTTCGTAAGCGTTCTGAATTTACACCTCATCAATTTTTATTCTTGCCTTTTAATTTTTGTGATAAGTAACTTGAAATTATTTTGTTCTTCGACGAATTAAAATAATTTAGTAAAAACAGTTACTTGTCATTGTCAATTTAATGTCAACAAATTATTGTTGACATTAAATTGACAATGACGTAGGCATATTTTGTTCTTATTAAAGAACAAAATATGCCTACGGATTTATATGAAATAAATAAATTATGTACGACAAATCGCGTAGTTGAACGTGTCATTATCTTTTTTTTTTCATCGAAAGAAAAGGAATGCACTACAGCCCATTGTCAAATTCGAATATCAAAAACCTTTTCCATGCTTGCAAAAAACGCTTTTATGAGAAAGATTTTTTGTGAAGCAGATTTCTAATGAGAAAGAAGCTAATCCGAGCTAATGAGGTAAAAAATATTTTTTAGTTCGTATTTATGCTGGGTGTAGGCTGCATGAAATAGGATTTTATGATCTAGTGCATAAAATAATATCGTCGTTTAAGACCGAGGCAATGACGCCAGCGCAACAGCCACGCACACTAGAACTTTATAAAATAAAGTTTTACTTTTGTATTTTTAATCCGTGTTATATATTACAATATCAAAAAAATAGGCAATATTAATTCTAAATGATTATCACTAGTAACAGGTTTCTTACCACGGTATAACTTCTTTTTATTTTCCCGATATTTCGGAACGGTTGCACGCTCCATGGTCACGGAACTAACTAACCACGAAAGTCTTAAAATCTATATAATATTAATTCTAATAAGTTATAAGAAATAGAAATGCACAAAAAATAAAAGCTATATAACTGAGCATTATGCAGTCCGACCTGAATCACGTGTAAAAAAAGTAGTGCATTGGCGGAAAGTTCTTATTGTTTCTTGGCAATAGTTGTGTTATCGTTTATTTGTAATATTGCTGTTTAATTTCCTCGCAATCGAAGTGAAAAGCAGAGTGTATAACTCGTTCATAAAACTCATTTTACCCTCGACTGAGTATCCACCCTCGGGTATACACGTCTCGGGTAAAATGGCGCGTTTTATGCACTTGTTGTACAATCTATCGTTTTGCTCTACAAAAAATTACGAACAATAATTTTGACGTGTTCGCGGTATTTTTTTTTACCGATACAACAAACGCACTAATAACGCGACAAAACAATATGGCGCCACCGTCTATGCGGAAAAGGCATGGAACTAAAACCGAGCGTAGTACTGGCTGTTTGAGTTTGTTCACTCGAAGTAAATTAAAAAATTAGGTACTTTTTACTCCAGGAGCAAAGGATACACTTTACTCCCGCTACGTAAGGCTATAATAACGTGCTTTTAGAGCATGAGAACCGGCTTGACCTTTTTGCGAGAAGTGTGGTATCTTATGGTATCTTACCAATACTCCCGTTTGTACTTTATACTTTTAAATCAACCTTTTTCTAAGAACATGTTCTATCTGATTGAGATTACACCAGGGTCCACTTTTCCCCACGTGTGCGTACGTGCGCTCTATAAATTTCTGTCGATCTTTAAAATGTGAGTCATATTTTATACAATTACGCAAATATTAGTATTCCGGTATTGGTATTAATTTATTATACTAAAAAAATAGGTGTTAATTTATTATTTTACGAAACAATTGTGCAAACTTATTTCAATACTAACTAGCACACATAGTAATGTGCTTGACGACAGAAGTAAGTACCTACATCAGCAGTTCTTCCCTGGACGCTACAGAATCACTATTGCCAAGTAGACTTAAGCAAATATCGCTTGACAGAAAGTTAAAAAGTTGCAAATTGGCTCTGAAACTGTAGTTCCAATCCATTTGAAAAGCGACTCTTATTGTACTTGCTATTAGGTTCATTTTTTTGGCAAGAACTTTATGATCATAGCAAATTACCAAATACCTGAATGAAACCTACCATGGAGTAGCGCGTTTACAAAGTCAGCTAATTTAAAATCATATTAAATGTTACAAGATAAAACCTAAATAAATAGGCGGCAAAAAGGTGCAAATATTTTTTATCGTAATTATAATTAAAATGTCGCTTTTGATAGGTATCAAAATATCGCAGAATCTAGTAGAGACTAAGAGCTATCCCACAAGGGCGTTGCGTTCACGTTCTGTCACCGCGCGCTGTTTCAACGCATCGTGTGGCATGTCACTCTGATTTATAGTTACAACGTAGTTGCGTCAACGCAACACCGACGCAACGCGTGTGTGGCATCTTCCTAAGAGCGATGCCGCACGATGCGTTGCGTCGGGGTTGCGACGCCTGAGGGGTGACTCGGCGTTGTACTACATGTAAATTCTAACTACATGCACATGACGCGATGAAACAATGACGGATCGCGTGCAGATAAAACAGGGCCAGAAGACGAAGCGGATAGGGGTACGCCAATGAAGCGGCGTCACGTTGCGACACTGCATTGCTCGTGTGGCACTCAGTGCGTTGTAATCATAGCGTTGCAACGACGCAACGCACCGACTGCGCCCGTGTGGCATCGCTCTTAACGTTGCGCGAGCTTGTTTAACACTGAGAATTAATTTAACGAGCGGCTTAACTGTTACGAGTTCTAAATACATCAAATGTAATATTATAACAATGTAGTTAGTAGTAAAGACGTCATCAGTCTTACTTACGTAAATACTACCTCGGAGTTTTGGTAGAGCGAACGAAGCGGATAGTTGAGGATTTAGCTGCCTTGATCGTGACATAATATATGGTATTAAACAAATAAATATAAATATATAATGAATGTTATTATCTTTTCTTTTTTCTTTGTCTAGAGTTCTTATGTGACGTGAATCGACGTAATATCGTATATTTCGAATCGTCATAGCGAGCCACATAATATTTTTCATGTTTTCTCGTTTCCCTAGGTGATCCAGCAAACTGGCGAATAAAACCAGAAGAAATACCTGAAGAATACAAGGCTAAAGCAGGCGAAGGAGGTTTCATGCCCTGGGGTTTCGCAGGGGTCATGACTGGGGCCGCCAAGTGCTTCTTTGGATTTGTGGGCTTTGACTGCGTGGCCACCACTGGTGAAGAAGCGAAAAACCCAAAAAGAGATATACCATTGTCTATAGTCTTGTCGCTGTTGATTATCTTCGCATCGTATTTTAGTGTAGCCACTGTACTGACTATGATGTGGCCTTATTATTTACAGGTTAGTGCTTCTCTTATATTATGTTTTTGTATATTTAAAACTGAGGTCGTTATTTGCTACTGGTGGTTTTCAAAACACCATCTGTATGGAATCCGAAAGTTCTAGTTTGATTTACAGCAGAATATTATTTAGGAAACTACATACATTTTCGGCATAGTTCTGTATGTTCTTTTATATATAAATAACATAGAATATTTATTAGGAACGGTGGTAGCCTTGTGGGAGAGCGGCTGCTTCTCAATTGACAGGTAGTCGGTTTTAAGTACATACACTACTCAACTAAGTCTAGGGAACAAGTCAATTATATTAACTTTTTCAATATTTTAATTTTTTTTAAAAAGTACTGGTCACTAAACTTAATAAAAGTAAATTAAATGCTTCGAAATTTAAAAAATTAAAACAAAAAAGCAAAAGTGTTTTAAAAATTAGGAGGGAAACTTTATATGGATTGTAAAGATTCCCACGAACAATATTACATAGTTAAGAGTAGATATTGTGAAAAATACATACTTGCAATATCCGTGCGAGATTGTTGATTTTATTTTCCGTAGAATAAACATTGGAGCACCGGAAAATTTTAAAATTAATTGCAAAATAAATCTTAAAAGAAATTATGAGGAGCATTTTGAATCCAAAAATCCAAAAAAAGTACGGTAAAACGCTTTTACACGTATATTCGGTGGGGCCGTCAAGATGTCCATATCTAATTAATAACAGACTTATAAACTACATATGTTCTACATATACTATTTGAATTAAGATTCAATCTCGTAAAATCTACGTGCCTTATTAGAGGTCCCTCCATTTTCTCAGCAATCATTTTCAGGATCCTGTAGCTACTTGCGTGTTACGGGTGTTGCATTGGTATAACTAGAATTTTTTTCGCATTAAAACTTTTTACGTAAACTTTACATATGCATTTGACCTCTCACCTGATGGAAATTTATTTATTTATTTATTTATGGCATAGCTACAGAATACAAACTGAGACATTGCTTAAAATTAACTTATACTACAATCTGAGTTAATTTGCACTCCTATGACAGCCACGCACGACATTTGCGAGGTAAATAAATGTACTTTTAAATTAACAAACTAGAAAAAATAATCAAACTCTACTCAAAAACTATAGTAAAAAATAATAATAATAATTAATTAGTACAAATCATATTACACATAGATAATATTAAGAATAAGATTTTTAAATAAACAACATATTCAGTTTGTCCTTACAAATATTTAAATAAGTATATCGACTGTGGGAGAATATGTCCAAGTCCTTACACAAGTCATTATGGGCTCTACACATACGGTAAATAGGATCATTATATGAGACATTATTAGTGGTACATGGTAGAAAGAAAGCTTTTTGTGTACGTTTACTGCCAATCTTAAACGAGACATGGCTTAAGAGCTCACTTGAATCCATTTCACTGTTAACAATTTTAAACAATGTGGAATAGTCCAGTATCACACGTCTGGATTGGAGAGCATTAATCTTAAAATATTTGAGTCTTGCCTCGTAAGTCTCTAATTTCCTACGCATCCCATATCTCGAGCTAAAAGTATCATAATGTGACTGGCGGTAGAGAAAGAGATTTATCAGGAATGGAAGATCATGATCTCTGCCTACCCGAATGAGCACAGGCGTGATGATATGCACATACAATATACTGGAATGCACGTAGCATATTTATATATCCGTTTGTGAGGTAAACGAGTTAAATCATTTCGGTTGAAAATTTGGCTTCGTGTGTTCCCTCAAAATTCGCTTCAACTTACTTTTCTACAATTCATTGTCAAGTTTAAATTTTAGACGTAAAATAAAGGCTTAGAAAGCACTAATGTCACATTTAACCGGTTCTATTACCCTTATCCTGCGCGGCAGCGAGTCCCGGGAGGTTGACTCTTGCCAAGTGCCAAGTGCCAAGCGCGGGCAGCGATAGCGGATAGGGGCCACGTAAATATGAGCTTATCGCTCTTTAAAACGACAATGCACTGTGTATTTACACAGTCCTGGAAATTGAGGTTGTATAATGCGGAGTTCGGAGCAAAAAGTGCTGAAATATATTTGAGAAAGGTACTTATCGTTTTGCACATGTCCCAGAGGCAGGACTACATCATTATTAAGTATAGACACGCGTCAAAACATGTTTGTGATCACTGATCGGCCATATTTCATCTTGATAAACGGTCCTGGTGGCAGTTTTATGTTATTTCGAATTTTCTGATGTTTTCCAAACGCCAACTTAATATTTATCAGCGATATGAAATGTTCTGCAAGGTCTTCTTTCGCACTTTGATGTTGCCTCGCAACAATCATATTTTATTTGTATATAAATAGGAATACTCCTTTTGTACCTTCCATTCCTTTTTCTTTTTTATTTTATTTATTTATTCAAGAAAAAAACAGTCGATGTCAAACAATTGTTACATTAACGAATATATATATATATATATATATATATCAGTTTTCGTAATTCATAATGCAGTTCAAATCTTAAACTCTAATAATAAAATTAGTAGCAGTAGAGGTCCTTGTAAAACAGTTCGTCCAGAGTAGTACTGACACCTTTCCTATTTCTGCCGCCAAGCAGTAATGTCAGCATTACTGTGTTCCGGTTTTGAAGAGTAAGGGAGCTGTTGAAATTACAGGCACATGGGACTTGTCAACTTATGTCTATAGTGCCCATCTTTACAATTTAAAGCTCTGAGTGGCACTGTAACTGTTATGGACAGGCGTGTAGTTTATCGTCAGGCGCACGACTTGTTGACCCTTCAAAACCGGAACGCAGTTATGCTCACGTTACTGCTTGGCGGTAGAAATAGGTATGGTGGCAGTACTTATAAATAGCTAGCTACTGAAATTAAATCCTTTCGACTACCCAGATAAACCTAAACCAGAATTAAATTAGAAAAGCTCTGTTTTAAATCGGTTCTACTGAGAATCCACCCGGAACCTCCTCATGTTGCACTTACAGTGCTAACCGCTGAGCCAACGACGTGGTCAAAGTTAAGAATAGAAAAAAATATGTAAATAATAATAACACACTCATAGCCCCACGCTAAGGAAACCCTGTATCGCGGTTGCCATGGACACACACACATAGGTAGACAACCACAAATTACTCCCGGACCCTGTACGTGGCAGTCCAGTATGGTAACCATTCGGCCCTGGAGGCAAATTCAAAATAAGTACTTAGTCAGCCATGACAATGTGACTTGTCTTCACCTTCTTATGATATCCTGGTGAAAGAATTTTCCAATTGGCATAAGATACTAGCCGATTGTTGCCCAGAGTCAGATGTACATGAAAGGAATGGTACGTCGCTCGGTGAGACTTCTATTACATTCCATTTGACCTGGAAAGAGCCCGAGACTTTGGTTTGTTTGAACAGGGAATTATACGTGATTTAGATTCGTTAAAACGATCCATTTCCTATTTCAAAATAACCACTTCTTCAATAATATCGTCCCACAATCATTTCAAACTTTTTTTTATTACTACTACCAATAACAATAAAACATAGAAAAAAAAGTAGCTAGAAACGCGATGGCTGACATGAAAGCATTCGTCGCCTGAATACAATATCTCGCCTATATATAATACGGCAACGTGAACGGAATCCATGTAAATAACAATATTTTCCTCCACCATCACATCACGAAAAAAACTGCCTCGATACGAATTGCGGAAATAAAAATAACCAAAATTTCTGCCGAAAACCACTCGGCTGCTAGAACATGTACCTGATATGAAACAGAAATGTTTCAACTCTTAGAATTCATTGTTATTTATTTTAGTAATTCTTCATGGAAACTATTTGAGCGCATACTTTTATTGAATATATCTTCTTCGTATTATTGAAGTAGTAAGTACCTCCACTAGTTTTTATTATAATTGTTAATGCAAAGATTGAACAGATAGAAAACTTTTTTGACCCGATGGAACTCTTACCAACTGAGCTACGGGTCAAGTTATCGAGTTATTAAAATCTCCTATGTGTACTTTGTACTAGGTATCCAGTGAGAGATTTTTAGAACCTTCTTCGCCGCAGATTTTCTTTCTATGTGTTCGATCTTGTGTTAATAACCATACAATATTTTCTGTGCCAAATCCAAACAAATATTATAAATGAATTTTGGTATAGAGATATACGGTACCTAGGAGAAGGATATAGGCTACTTTTTGTCACAAAAATAAATCTTAAAGGGGATGGCTGTATGGAGAACTAATAAAACTATGAAAATTAGTGTAGTACAGTATGTTTCTCGAAGTTCTTTTTCTACGCAGGCGAAGTCGCGGGCACCGTATATTAATATAATCTCAATGTAGATACTGATTTTCGGTACCTCAGTTCGTTGATACAGAACGACGGCGAGATAAACTAGGACGTAAAGAACAAGATAAGTGCAGAATGCATAGGGACGGTTCGATACAAGTAAATACGAGTA